TGCAATTTCTCCACAATTGGAAGATATAATGGCAGTGAGTTTTTATAAGAACTATTGCAAGAGGGAGATTGACAGACACTTCTTAAGAGATCTTTCCTGCAAAGATTTCATTAGAACTTGCTAAATAAACTAATAAAGTCATGCGCAGTGCAATCACTTCAGCTGTTGCCAAGTGCCATTGTTTATGGGCTATAACATGACAACGTTTAAATAACACATGTAGCAATCCAGGATTTTTAATTAAAATAGCTGAATGCTGGTTAGCTAATCCACACGAAGGATATTTGCCATGAATGCTGACACACTGAACTCTAGCACAAACTATTCTCACTGGTAATATTTCAATAACTACAAAGGAGTCTCTTTCAAGATAACACTTGAGATTTTGAGAAGTGCATGCTGACATCTAATAATTCAAATGTGGAGGGAGGCAGAAATAGAGTTTGTACAAATAAACTTCAGAAATGTATAGGCTGAATATGAGCTATGTGTAATAAGTGCCAGGGACGAGAGGGAAACAAGGAAAAAAGGTCCACTTGGACAGGCACTTTGATTTAATGCAGCCAGGTAGCTTTTGTGAATTTTGACAATTTGCTGTCATCATTACTCAGCAAGATTTGCACAATTTTTGTCATGTAGGGTTTCAGCATCAAATTGAACCTCCAATCTTAGCTCTATCCATGTGCGGAACATCACATCATTATTTCTGCTGTTTCAGTAAATAGATCTAAATGAATTCAAGAAATGGGGAGAAAATTTAGATTCTGTCTTTACTGCTATGAGTTCAGTCCTTTGCCTGAGATCACCAAATCTTGATTATAATCATCAATAGAACTTCATTTGTGAGAAATTTGTTTTATTCTTTCCAAAGTACTGAAATGTCCTTGGCTCTCATTAGCTGTGAGATGCCAGAACAATTCCTTCTCTGGTCAGAATCCTTAAATGCTATCTTGAGATGTTCAGCTTTACCTGAAGCTCTGGCTGACAAAAACAGTTCTGGCAGAGAGACCATCTGATCTACTTGCATGAAAATATGATGCACTCACTCAATACACTGAACTGTTGAAGGCCATGGATCAAAGTAGGAAAAAATGCAAATTCAATTTAGGAATAGTAGCCACAGGAGTAACTACATCTCAGCCATCCCAAAGACAGCAGCAGTACTAATCCTGAGCAACAGTGCCAAGACCCAGCATCCTTTGTTTTACCCAGTTGATAGGAACAGTGCCAGGATAACAGCACATACCATCAACCCTGCAACCCTTACCTTCTTTCTGTTTCACTGGTAAGTCCACCTTTTAAGTTTATTAAATTCTCAGCTGTCAACTGGCAGTTTACAACAAAGGAAATGGGCAGTCAGCATAAAGTGACTGGTCAATCTCATGGCCTGGAGTGGAACAGACAGGCTTTTGGCCTGAATGGGTATGGCTGTTTTTCATGTAGCATTTTTTATTAACAGGAGCTTGGTCCATAGCCTGCCTGTGAAGAGTAAAAATCATAATTCCAAATCAACATTACTGTACTCTGTGTACTTGCTATCTGAAATCCAAAGTTAGATTCCTACTGAATCTCTTTTGTGAAACCTCCAACGTGCTGGATACATGTTGTGCTCATCACAGCAATCCAGCTATGAACCACCATCGGATTTATGTGGACCTTCCAGCAGCATAACTGCTACTATTGAAAGGACATGTATTGAAGACCCAAATCACAGGCCTGCTGTACCCAAACTGCAAGCACCTCTGACTGATTTTCATCTCTACATTCTCTAAAAAATGAAATACAAAGACAGCCAACAGCAGTGACTTCCATGCACAGCTGCAGGAGGTGCAGAGTCTTTATTTATCACGCTGGAGACTGCAGAGACCAGTAATGTAAAGGCTGGTTTGTTCTGCAGTGCGAATGACTGGAGGAATAAATCATCTCATGAGAAAACTGTCCCCTAGACTGCAGGTGTAGAGAAACAGGCAAAACCAACCCTGTTCTTGGCTGGTGTTTCTAACTACTGCAGTAACAGTAACAATGAGCAGCAAATAACTATATCATTACTTACATCATCTGTCCCTAACACTAGTAAAGGTTTTAGCTAGCAAAAGTAAGTAAAGCTAGGGAACCTACAGCTAGGTAATTAAATTCCCATGTTTCCTTCTAAGGTAGATGTAGACAGAACAAATATACCTCACATAACCAGAATGTGTAAGCATCTTCTTTTTTTTTTCTTTTTCTAACAAGTTCTTATGTCAAAACAGCAATCAACTGTATCCCTGAGTGCCACAACTGAACGGCTCTTGAACACCTCCAGGGATGGTGAATCCACCACCTGTCTGGGCAGCCTGTGCCAGTGCTTCACCACCCTTTCTGAGAAGAATTTTTTCCTAATATCCAACCTAAACCTGCCCTTGAGCAACTTGAGGCAGTTCCCTCTCATTCTGTCTCTGTTACCAAGGAGAAGAGGCTGACACCTATCTCACCTATCTCTTTTCAGGGAACTGTAGAGGATGATAACATCTCCCCTGGGTCTCCTCTTCTCCAGACCACACAATTCCAGTTCCCTCAGCCGTTCCCCATGAGACTTGTGTTCCAGACCCTTCATCATTTTCGCTGCTCTTCTCTGAACACACTCAGGGCCTCAATGTCTTTCTTGTAGTGAGACGCCCAAAACTGAACACAGCACTCAAGGTGTGGCCTCAGGTGCATTTACATACAAGACCTCACCAACTAGTTCTGATGCAGCACATTTCTGCTAACAGAATGAAGATGACAGGTTGCTTGAACCAGACCTTGCTCAACTTGCCGCTAATTAAAGTCATCCCTATTTCTTGCAGAGATCTTTTTCAAAAGTTTAAGATGCTAAGGATGGCCACAGCACCTCCGCTCAAGAAGTCATAGGGGACAGTGGAAGCCAGGAGTACAACAGGAAAGCAGAGGGACTCAGTGGGCCTTTGGTTCAGCCTAAGATCATCAAGTTATAAATAAGCTTTTACAAAACAACCTACAGATTTCTCTTCTTTACTCTCACTCAGACTTTTGCTTACTCACTGTTTGCTTATGCTCCTGTATCATGTGTAATTGAGGGATGGCTGCAGTTAAAGCACATAATATGGATTAATTTGGAGCAAAACAAATACCAGCTGAGTGCTACCAAGCAGACATAAACAAGCAGCTCACAAAGGCTGTCAGACTTGATGATCAATGTCAACACCTCTCTCAAGCTGGGCACGAGTCAACATTTGGATGAAGCTCTGATCCCACATAATTCTATTTTGTTCTCCAAATTCATTCTTTGTATTTACTTTTACATAGACACTCAGCTACTCCTGACTGTAACTGTTTCTCACTGCTCTGAAGGAAGAATACCAAATAGGTGATTCAAAGTATGTGAAGCCAAACCTCTCATTCTCCAACAGGGCTTGGAAAAAGACTTCCCAAAAAAAACCCACGCAGCCACCATGACTCAGATAACTCCAAATCCACTTGCTGGGCCAAGATGCACATGTTGTGGCTAGAAGGGGTGTTCAGCAGACCAAAATAAAACTAATTCCTAAATGGTGCGAATAAAAGATGGAAATTGGGAATCTGTTTCTTTTTGCACCAAGCAACAGACCTTTGTACAGACACCTGATTCATTAGCCTAGCTGTAGTTTTATACGCTGAATTATCAAAGGAGCCCTGCATGATCAAAGTAGTGCAGTATCATCAGTTGGAACAGCCAGCAGATGTCCTTGAGCTGTAAAAATCAGCCATGTTTGCTCAAAACTCTTTCTTTAAGTCCTTGGTAGCATGAGCATAAGACTGCAAGTGGGGCTTCCACAACGCCTTCGTCTTTCAGCTGTTGAGTGGGAGGTGTTAATCCCATGAGCAGAAAAGCTGACCCAACACTCGTGGTTGAAGTGTGGAACACAGAGATTACAAGCTCAACAACTCACCTTGACTCAAACTTTGCTGGACTTCAGGAAAATTGTTTAGGGTAGAATTATTGACCAAGGTGATTTAGTAGCCCACTGTTTACAACAGTTTCACCTATTACATTAGTATGATCATAACAGTAGTATAGACAAAGCTCGATAGAGACTTCTTTTTTTTTCCTTTTTTTTTAAATTTTATTTTTGGTAGCTAAGTTACATCTATTACTCCTTAATGAATGTTAATTAGAAGTGCAAAAGCACATGTCTCTGAAGACATTTCCTTCTTACTTAAGTGAGAACCGCTCTTCCCTGTTTCATTGATGGATTCTGGGTGAACATGTTAACACCCAATAAAGTCTTTTAATGCAGCTGTACAAAGACATGGGTTGGATGTCAGGAAATATGCCTTCTCAGGAGTGGTGAGGCATCGGCACAGGCTGCCCAGGGAGGTGTTGGAGTCACCGTCCCTGGAGGTGTTCAAGAACCATGTAGATGTGGCACTGAGGGATGTGGTTAGTGAGCGTATGGTGGTAATGGGCTGAAGGTTGGACTAAATAATCTTGGTGGTCTTTTCCAACCTTAATGTTTCTATGATTCTAAAGTAAACGCAGAAAGCAATACATTCCAGTGGTGTCAGATACAAGTGTTAAAACACATCATACTGCTGTAATATTTCAAGATATGTGCAAAGCTGTTACAGAGTATATTTCAGATTTTCAGGGCAAGCTTATTTACACCAACTTCTTCATCTTCATACAAAAGCCTCGTTGCTGTTATACCACAGCCTCACACACGAGAGATTGTTTTAGATGAGAGAAAAACCAACTACAGCCAAAAGCTGACCAATGTCTCTGCCATGACTCTTCCAAAAGGTCCCTCTTTGTATTCTACTAGCATTTCAAGAACGCTAAATCAGAGCAGAATCTCAGAACAGCTCTCATAAGGGAGGTTATCACTAAGAAATTAAGTTTCTTGTGAAACAGTGTATTTCCTATTGCATGGTATTATGATGTTTAAAAACTCCATCTATTATTTTTTATTTACAACTAAATGTTATCAGTTACTCATGAGATTATGATGTTGGTGCCCACTTACCTCTGAGCCTGAAGTATTTCAGATGGTTGGCAATAGCCTGTTCAACAGATTCATCGGGGCAGATCTTAACTCCACTGGGAAACAGAATGGAGCGCTTCCTTCGGCGCAGCGAATGCCTGTTGACTTGCTCAGCCTCCATAATGCCACGAAGCTTTCTCAGTTCAGGAGGCAGAGAGGGGCTTGCAAACTGCCAGACACTGAGCTGAGGGGTTGGTGAAGCATCTTTAGCCTGCTTTTCTTCTGCTGTAAAATTGAAACCGTGTATAAATTTCTCAGATGAGGTAGAGATGCAGTCACGCATATCTCAATTCCATTGCTCTGGTCTGTGGAGGACCTAATGTTCTTTTTTTTTTCTGTTAACAAGCTTAAACATGTCGGTATAACTGTCCTATTACAAACAAACTCAACCTCTTTTACACAAGTTATCAAATGAAACCTCTGACCTCGCGAATGCTAATGTTTTGTATTTAACTTCTCTTCTGGGATTCGGCTTAAGTCAGTGGGACTATACATGTCAATAATCACGTGCTTGAAATTTTCAGGGCCACGAATGGAAAATTAATTAGTTAAAGTCTCTTTATTCCATACATTCTATCCACATTTATGTCCCATGCTTTAAGATAGCTGCCTGAATCGGTACCTAGCAACTTTCCCTTCTATCACCACAAGACCTGGTTCCAACCTGACAGGAGGAGGGAAAAAAAGAAAAAGAAAAAAAAAGAAAGGGACATCTCAGCTTTAGCTTATTGCTTTTTTTTTTTTTTAATTTCTTCTGAGTTGTTCCACAACAAACTTACAGCTAAGGGGAGAATGCATCTATTTGGTTTTAGACTGACTGTCATTCTCTAACCTCCACAGGCAGCTTATCTGAAATTAGTTAATTCAATCTTTTTCTTTCACAGAAAACAATTGAAGAAGAATCAAAATGAATAACTAATTACAGAAAGAACAGTAATTGTTTTATGGCATTTGTTGCCTGGCGGATTGTAAATTTAGTCTGCAACTTCAAAGTCAGTAGCATTTTTGACTTTGATGACTGAAGGATAAAGATCACGGCTATTCTGATGGTACACTAATAATAGCTCTAGAGCAGAAGGCCACCTGTAGATGATATATTGGAGGGAGAAGGGAACAAACAAGGTCACTAAGGCAAAACACTTATCTTTACCCAAACTGACACATTTTCATTGACCAAATGGAGGGCATATATTTTGTTATTTAATACAAATTTACTAAAGAAAAAAGCTTCAAGTGGAAAAGCTTGCTGATCAGTATTTGATGTCTTTCAAAGTTGGAAATCTTAGCACACCATGCCTACATTCTACTCTTAAAACAACAGTACATTTTTCTCGTAAATCACTCCGTATTTAAAACACTGGTATCACAACAAAGATTTGACCAAATGTTTCTTTGTGTTAGCCTCCTTCATTTTAATTAAGGCAGAGAGGCATTTTTTTTTCTACACACCACTACAGGCAAAACCCTGAAAACAAGAATATAAAGAAGAAAGATGTCTGCCTTACCTGCAACTGCTTGAAGATCTCCTGTAATCACTTCTGAAACCAAGAGGCAGAGAGAGATTTTCCAAAGGAAGGCAAACATTTTATTTGTGTCCAAAAGCCAATAGGTAAGAAAAAAAGAAAATCCTTTTCAGCAAGAGTCGTTGCCTTTAACGTATCCTTGAGCCAAGCAAGAGCATTGCCCTTCTTGAAAACGTCTTGACGTCACATAAAGTTATCTTTGGAAGAAAGACATTAGGTTAAAAAAGTCAAACAAGACATCCTGGAAATGATCTTTTCAACGCAAGTATTCCACTCCAGTGAAGAAACAAGGAAAGGTGATGAAGTAAACGCCTCGGAGCTGGCAGATGGACTGAGACAATTTTTTAATTTTAATCTGGCCAGCTAAGCTCTTTACTGGAGCTTGTCATACCATTAACAGACAGTCCAAACAAGGACAGCACCTTTCACACTTAATTAACCATGTATTTTCACAGGCCCTTCAGTTTCTGTCTGTTTTAAAAGTCATACTGACCACAGAGTATCAGTGCGAGCACACTTGTCTCCAGTGGAAGGTATCCATGAGCTTATATACGTACTTAAGAATGCACTGACTTGATTGTAGCACTGATGAGCACAGAGATAAGACTGAAACAATCATTCTGTAGGTATCATGCTAGTGACAGAGGTAACAAGGTCCTGCTGCTCGAGTCTGAGCTAAAGCAGAAGATCTGCTGCTACACCACTGCCCTTCACATCCCAAGATAAAAGCAGGGCAAATGGCGATTCTTTCATCTCTGCCCAGACGTAATCTGAGATGAGCATTAAGACCAGATTTGTGCTGATACCTGGAGAAACGGTAGGTTAAGGAGAGCTGTGTAAAGGACAGAGGGTGCAGGAAAACAGCAGCACTCTCAGCTCCCCTCCTTTCCAGAGGTCAGCTCAGTGCGGAGACGTGTATGGAAGCCAGCCCACAATGGCAGGCAGAGATCACACCACAAGAAAAACTGTATTGGGGCTGCCTAATGGGTGGCACTGCTCTGAACTTGCTGCCCACTGCTTTGATCATCTCGGATATTACGAACAGGACACTCACAGGAATCAAAGAAAACCACCCTTTATTCATTCTCTGTCTTCTGACATGTAACAGACTCCAGTCATTTTCAAAACAACAAACACTACTTTTTTTTTTTTTTTTCCACAAAACTGCTAAACTGCACTTTAAATTAAACCGCTGACAGCCTCTCGGACACTTTGGATCTCTCAGACCAGTGCTATTCACCTCAGCTGGCTCTGTCAAGGTAACTACACAGCTGGCAGCAGCAAGTGAACTGTGCACCACTCTGAAGCTGTATCTTGAACAGCCCTGGGGACCTGAAGCACACCTACTGAGCAACTCTAGGCAAAGAGAACCATTTCTGAGGCCAGTTTGGGTGCCTGTACTATGATATTAGATTCGGAAACACAGACCAGACTTTTTTCATCCTCTAAAGACACAGGAGTTTCCAATGCCATGGATGCCTTCCTTCTGTTAACCTGCAAAAATGCAAACAAATAGAGACAAGAAACAGTAAACAAACCTACAAAGGCAAAGGCTCTCTCACCTCAAGAATGAAATAGCATTTAGAGAAAATACTCAGAATGCATGAATGTAAGGGTATGAAACCCAATAAAAAGCTTTCCTGAGAAGTTTTCTTATTTTCTGTATTATTATGCATTAAGCAAGGCCCGAGGCTCTTAGCCTTCCAATGTATCAGCCCAGCACAGCCTGTTGTTCTGCCACCTCTTCCATCATGTAGTACTGTAAAGCAGTTGGACCAGAAGCATCAGGGAGACCAATCAAATTAATTGTCTTTATTATAAACTTTATTATTTGTTCTGTCTATAATGTGTACTATAATGTGAATATATTCCTTTTTTGAACTGTTCCTCAGGTGAGTACATCTTACCTTGCTCAACAGTAAAAGATGAGCCTGGTGCCCATGGTTAATCTTTGAACAGAGTTTTTGATTCCAGTTAGAATGGACTGATTTACTGTCACCGGTCTTGGTTTTATTTAATCATTAATCGAAGAATTTTCTGTTCTTTCAAGATCTTTCATGTCTCATTCTATGATCATCACTTTTTAAATCTAGAAACCTAAGAGACCTTTTTCTTCAGAAGAAATTGCAGAAAATAATATTGCAATTCCTTGTCACAGTCAAGAGAGCTATCACTTTGACTTTTGAGTCTTTGCTATTTTGTAAGGTATGGTACTTACTGAGTATTGCAACCTCATTTCAGGGTTACATCCTAGGAGGAGTCCCAGAATGAAGAGACAGATTGCTGTGAAGCTGTGTCTGCCAGAGGTCAATCACAGCCAACTGCAGATAATTTTTAAAGCACGCTCACATTGTCATGGTTCATTCCTCTGGTGTTTGATTTTAAAAAAATGGTTTTTAAATTTTTTTCTTGGAAGATTTAACTCCTACAAGTTATTTATCTTGTTTCTTGTTTGTCAACAGTACTCTGCACCAATCCATGACTCAGATTTCCTTATGGAAGCCAGTTTCCAAGCCCACAGAGCCAGAACGTATCAGTTTCTTTCATGTTTAGCATGTCATAAGTACAATTCAATGCCTTGATACCAAATTGCAGAATGCAGGTTAAAGGGCCTTATAAAGATTGGTTTGCTTTGAAGCAAAACACCACTCCACCATTTAAGTTAAACAGGGATTGATAAGGGATGTAGAAGATACACAAAATGATCCCTGGGCCAGTCTGATAACCCTATATAGAAGAATACTACTAAAAGTTATCTCTGGAAAGTTTATGTTATATATATATATATTATTTTATTATATATATATTATTATTATATATATTATATAATGTTATATATTATTATTATATATATATATATGTAAATAGATAGATAGATAGATCAGGAGCGTACCTTAATCCACAAACACTTTCTAGCATTCACCACGTGTGTTACATGCATATGGCTGGAATAGGGTGGACTGTGGCTGCTTGACCCAGGTATTTCCCAGACTGGTCATTCAGGTTGTCAACACTGTTAAGCCTAACTCCAGAAAACTATAAGGTTGCTGATTCAAAAAGCAGTCTTCCTTGCCACAAGAAGCTACAATCTAGCTGCACGCGTTTTAAGGACTGAAGAACAATTAATTGCTTTGATCAAAAATTGAATTAGGAGAGACATACTGAGGACACAACTTAAATGCAATAAGATGGATTATCTCATATTTAGCTCACTGGTTCTTTGTGGCAGAAGCAAAAAGAATGGTGACAATCATGTTCAGTGACTTCTGGAGGTTTTTATTATCAAATGTATTGGCATCCCCATAGCAAATCGCTAACATTAACCTACAAAGTCAATCCTTTGCTGTTATAAAACCAATTTAGAAAAGTTTATACATATCTTTTAAATATCTACGTATAAACCAGTTAATCTGAAAGAGAATAAATATTGCTTTATGATATAAACCAATTTTATTGTAAGAAAAAGTCCAAAGTATTCTTAATAAGGGAACACTGAAAATATTTCATCCATTAAAAAGGTGTGGAGAAAAAGCACACACATTTCTGCATTTTATCATTTATCTCTTACAATAAATACAAAGATTATCCCTGGGAGTGAGAAATGGTGGTGATGAGGTTTGTGAGATAAGTCACACAAATTTCTGCGATGAGAGTGACAGATATTGGTGGGAGTAGTGATAAACTACTGAGCTGAACTAGAAACGAAGTAAAAAAAAAAAAACAAGATAAGTGCACTAGGCTGCCCAGTTACACAAAAAGTAACTGCACTCAGCAAATTATGTTCTGAAATTGTTTCTGCTCTTCAGAAAGAATGCTTCCTGGTTTGAGAAACAACGCCGTTTTTTGTCAGGTTTTTTGGATGACTTGTAGAACCTGAAGCAATGACTGGATTTTCCAAATCAGGTGTCAGAGTTGCCTTGAGGAAAGGGGCCCTGAGAATTCTGCCACACTACAAATTTGTCCATGTCTTTCAAATGCCCTCAATTTTTACTTTGATTTTTTAAGCCTACCTCCTTTGAGACCTCTAGTTTTGCAGATATGCTTATTATACAAATGGCTTTGGTGGTTATCTGCAACATGGTTCTTCTGGGAGTACTATGATACTTAAGAAACTTACTGTAGGTAACAGGAGAAAGCATCCTCTCAAAACAGCCACCATCTATCGTGTAATAACTACGGGAAAAAGTGTGTGCATACCAAAATGTTATTAAAGTTTTCCATGACAACTGTCTGAGAAAAACTAAATAAATATATATACAGACTATGATAAACTTCCGCTAGTTTATCAAATCAAGTCCTGAGTTGAATATTTGGGTGCCTTTACTGAATTCTCCCAAATAAAGTATAAATCCTGTATGTCTTATATATAAGCAACATGTCTTAAAGACATATTACATATAGCCACATCCTTTCTAAACGAAAACATGCTTATTTCTCAAATATCTCAATCTTATTGAGCCACAGTCTACTTGCTTTTCTAATGCAAATGATGCCTTTAAGACTCACAGGAGTAACTCCCAAAAATAAAGTAATTAGGAGTAAAAATCTATTGCCTACATGTACTGTAGCAGCATGTACTTTGAGAACAAGATTTCTAAAATCTGACAAGAAGAGAGTTATCATAAAGGGCATTCAGAAGAGCCCACTTCTGACTTCAGAAGATTTCAAGATTCACTCTCAAGCAAATAAATTTTTATGATGGAAATGCTAGGGAGGAAAAAAATTAAAACCCAGAAGTGTCAAATCCCAGCAGAATATTCTGATAAATGCAAACTATTTCTGTATATTATCAGAAACAAAACAGAACAACAACAACAAAAAATCTCTAAAGAGAATCAGTATTATATCCTTAAATTAAAACAATACATAGTATTCATATCTGTATGAACTGCAAAGTAGAAAGAGACACAGTATAAGGTCAGAAACCCATCTTTGGGCCTGACTCCTATGTGCTCATCCAACTCTTAAAGTTTATATAGAATTGTAAAGAACAGGCTCCAAAAGATCAAAATATTTTTACATCTTTGTTGCACATACCTGTACACATTTTCATATTCCAAGTTAAAAAAATCAATTAGCAAGTCACATGTATTAGCTTTAACTTACGTATTTACACTTATTTACAACCTTCTCTTCCACCACCCTCCCCTCCAACAGCATTCTATCATCACTGAACCCAAAGTAAAATAATTATTTACATAAATACATAATGAACAAACAAAAAAACATTTTTTTTCTTCCTCGCAAGGCAGACAGAGCCAAAATGCTGCTAAGCAGAGTTCCAGGTATTTTATACAATAGTTCTTTGCCAGTTCTGGTAGATGGGATTTATTAGCTTCTGCTGCCTCTGAGCTGCTGAAAGTGCAATTGCAAAATCAGGTCTTGGATTTCTTCTCTTTTGCTTCTGATCAGCTGACGAGGAAACCACTTCTCCAGATGCACTGGCTGTTCAAAGTCAACTATGGGATTCTGGTAAAAAGGGAAAGAAATAAAAACAAGAATATTTACAGCATGTATTTCCCATGACAAGCTTCAAAAAGAATTCCAAAGCCTTCCATACTGCTGAGAACTAGCATGCATAAATAAGTTACCACGAGATACAGTTGTCAAGATCTAAGTTAAATTCCAGTCCCTCCACTATAACACGAGCTACTACTCATGGTAAGCAAAAAACAGATTATCATCACTTCCTCTTAAGGATACTTTAATATAAGCTCATATTCAATGCTGATTCTACATACTCTCAATATGGTTAGACATGCTCTTGATATTTAACAGGAGGCAGGTGCACTTCAGTCAAAAAACACACATGTAGGATCACACTATACGGAATGATTAAGCACACTGCAGTCAAGCAAGCAAATCTTAGGCACATTTTTTATTGTCATGAGCTGGCCTGTCTGAAAGAAGAAAACAAAGAAGCAAGAGCACTGCCAGCAATTCTAGTAGGACATAGAAAGGGGAGAATTTGGACCAAAAGAGGAAAGCAAATTCAAATGGCTGAGATATTGCTAGCTCTGACAATAAGATCACAACACTACATCTCAACTGCCAAAGTTTTTTTCTTCCTCCCCTCATCGTTCGTTTGCCATGCCTATTTTTCACCTTCTCCTTCCCTTAAATAAAGAGTCGTGGTAAATTCAAAAAGCAAAGTGAGAATGGTCTATGAGTCCTTGTATGTTTAGCACAAGCAGCAAACTACCTCCTCCTGACCTTGCTTCTGCATTGTTACAGAATGGGCAGTTCAGAACATTGGTAAAAAAAGAAAAATAAATAAATTCATCTTCTACCTACCTATTACAAAATCACTGAATGGATGAGGCTGGAAGGGACTTCTGGAGGTCACCTAGTTCAAACTCCCTACTTAAGCAAGGCCAAATAGAGCAGATGGCCCACAGCCCACATTACATCTTTGACTCTAAACTGATGAGACATGGATCTGATAGATGGAACACTTGGTGAATAAAGAATTGGCTGGATAGCTGCATTCAAAGAGTTGTGGTCAACAGCTCACTGTCCAAGTGGAGACAAGTGATAAGTGGTGTTCTCCAGGACTTGGTATTGGGACTGATATTATTTAACATCTTTGTCAGTGATGTGGACAGTGGGATTTAGTGCACTCTCAGGAATTTTGCAGATGACACCAAGCTGAGAAGTGCCGTGGTCATGTTGGAGGGACAGGATGCCATCAAGAGCGACTCCAACAGGCTAAAGAGCTGGGTCCATGCAAACAAATTGTTGTTCAACTAGGGTAGGTGCACATGATCACAGGCTGGGTGATGAGTGGGCAGAGGGCAGCCTTTTGCTGGACTTGGGAGTACTGGGGGATGAAAAGCTTGACATGAATTGACAATGGGCACTTGCAGCTCAGAAAACCAACCATACCCCGGATTGCATCAAAAGAAAGGTAGCTAGCAGATCAAAGGAGGTGATTCTCTCCCTCTATTCAGCTCTCACCTGAAGCCCTGGAGCTCACAGCTTAAGAAAGGCACAGAGCTGCTAGAACACGTCATGAGGAAGGTCAAGAAGATGATATTTGGAAGTATGTACTGAACATGTAAGAGAGATTCCCTTAGCTTTGTGTATTGTCTCTTAAGGATCCTACTTCCATCTCTTTGCAGAAGCTGCTGCCTGCACAGACAGTGCCATTCAAAGGCCAAAGGAAAAGCTGAACAAAGTTTGAAAGGCATTAAGAAGTGAGGACCTGCACAGAAAACATGTCTTTGTACCATTTGTAGGTCAGAAATTCATAAACTACATAAGATCCAAATATATTCTTACAGCTGCAGACCTTGAATGTGTTAACATAAATGCAATATATTAAACCACAAGGTTAGAAATGCCTGCTTAAGAAACCCAGAAAAATCATCTGTATTACAGATACAAGACCTTCTGACACAACACAAAGAACAGCTTTTATGTTCTCTTTCTCAAATACCTCAGACAATATTAGACACTAAGCAACACAGGTTTTCTGCCTGGGTATTTCTCTCAGAAATAGCAGTTTATGGTTTGAGATGATTTTGGGGAATAGGAGAAGCAGATTCTTCTAGTACCTGGAAGAAGCTTTCCACATATTGTAGCAAATACACCCCGCAGTCACTACTGTTATCTTGTTTAGGCACTCTTGGATAAAAGTCAATCATTGTTGATTTACTGAATTCACGATGTGTTTTTCGTTTAGCTTCCCATTCTACTTCAAGATACCTATAAAAGAAAGCAAATAGATTAATATTTGAGAAATAAACCAAATATCTCCAAAGCTCAGTGCATTTTGAGATGCTTCTCACTATTGTTCTGGAGCTGGACAAAATGTTAAGATAGCCTTAATCAATTTATTTCACAGAATCTATAAAAGAAATTCATACAAGTAACAAAATTTCCACTATCCAATATTCTACCTTACACAGATTCAGTTTTATCATATAATATACAATAAACAAAGATGTGTGAAATTATTTAAAAATAATAATCGTTATCATCATCTGCATTGAGTTTATTCAAGCTATTAGGATACTAAGCTGAGCTCCAGGAGGAATTCAAGTGATATTTCCCAGATTTTATTGTGTTCATCCAAAAAAGCCAGCAGTGCTTTTCTATCTTAAAAAATTTAGAATTTGAAAAATTTAGAAAGCTATTAAAGTTAAACTTTAAAGTTCACTTTTTGAACTTCAGCTATAATTACACCATTATAACCCTTGCAGCCCATTAGGGTATAAAGCATTGGAAAACCTGTTAAAAAACTTATAGGATCATTTCTTTAATGATTACGACTTACTTGTTATCAGTTTTTTTTATTGTTCTCTTGCTTCAGTAGTGACTCACTGATTTCACTTTCTGAACTGACTACTGATTTTGAACACGGGATTGAAGGCACAAGTGTCTGACAAAGTCAGATTCAGATCTTTAAGCAAGGTCAGGCTACATAGGAAAATTACAAAGCTGCAGTTTGCATTTGCAGGAAGAAAACATGAAAGGCTGAAGTTCAACTAGAGTTAAAATTGGCCAGTAATGTTTCAGATAACAAAAATTCCTTTCAACAGTATGCTAATAGCAAGAAAAAGTCTAAGGAAAATATTGGAATGTTACTGGATAATGCTATTCACTGGACAAATAGAAATAAAGAAAAAGGCAGAAGCATTTAATGTTTTGATAGCCTTGGTCTTTAATAATTACAGGCTTTTCGTTATCCAGTCCTGTAAGCTGGGGGAGCAGTGACTTTTTATTTGCTGATATTAAAACTATAATGAACCAGGACTCCTCTCAACTATCTATCAAAGATCTCAGGAGTCTGGAGAGGTCTCTTCTAACTGGAAACTAGTCCATATTGTTCCAGTTTACAAGAAGGGCAAAAGAGAAGACCCTGGAAATCAAGAACCCATTAATTTAACTTCAGTAACTGAAAAAATTATTGAAAAGATTACCCTGGGTGTCACCGAAAGGCATTCAAAAAAATCACAGTCATCAGGTCCCATCAACAAAGATTCACACAAAAAAATTCTGTCTCACTAATTTGATATTGTTTCATGACAAGACCACACACTCACAGGACAAAGGAAAGGTGGTAGATGGATTTTTTCTGGATTTTGCTAAGGCTATGCCTTTCTGTTAACTTCAGTTACGGTTGCAAACACTCAAAATTTCTGGAAAATAAATGTTTGACTTCAGGGAATAAAAAAAACTACACACCCTAAATCAGACCTCAGTTTGATTTCCACAAGGCCTTGTAATTCTGACAATAAAAATAAATATAAAACACTCAAAACAAATTTTGAGAAAAATGGCACCTGTGAATAGTAACCAAACATAAAACAGAATTCAAAGACAGAGTGTTCAGTGAGGCACATGTCGTATGTACTACAAAAGGACTTATGACTTTAGTTTATTTGGGCCTGAACACTACTCAAAGCATAATGAAAATCAACTTAGGGAAAAATAAACTAAGACGAGGAGGTTTAGTTAGGTATTAGCAGGAGGTTTTTCACACAGCCAGTGGAGACACACTGGAACAGATTGCCCAAGGAGGATGTGGATGCCCCATCCCTGCAGGCATTCAAGGCCAGGCTGGATGTGGATCTGGGCAGCCTGGTCTAGTGGTTGGCGAGGTTGAATCTAGATGATCATTTTGGTCCTTTTCAACCCAGACCATTCTACAATTCTATGAAAGAATAAGTTATGGAACTTTTGTATCAGTTTTTTTTTAAATTTCTGCTTTCATTGTGTAACTGCAAATTGAAGTTATGATGTCTGCTTCCCCAGCTTCACACCTCAGTAAATCATCTCTTTTTTTTCCTGACTTTGTGACACCTCTGTGACTGAACACCAAGAAATCTCACTCTCTGAAATTTTATCTCTGGGAGTAGCTCAAAGCATAAATCTCTTCATCAATATATATTAAACAGAGATTTAAAAATTGAAATTGCTATTTCATTCTTCTTCCCCCAAAAAACACGGTGGGGAGGTCTCTCTAGGGAATAGATACTGTCAAAAAATTAACTGATTTCCATTTACTCCCACTGCAGTTTTATGAAGGATTTACTTCTACAAGAAGGATCTTTTCTGTGTAGTACCTGGTTTACAGATTTTTGCTCCTTTCAGTGAAGTGAATACAACAGAATACAAAAAGATCAATTCTGTTTATCTTCAAACAATGAATATTAGCAACTTTTGAAAACTGTTGTGATAACTACTGAAGTCATTAGGAGTATATAAAAGAACTGTAAATTTCATGAACTCTTCCAATACTTGCATACTTTTCACATAAAAGACTGAATATATTTTTTACTGTCACTTTTCAAAATAGATAATACCATCCTCATATTAGTATCCTGACACTTGTAGACAGCATCAGTGTAGTTTCTATTTTTTTGTACACACTTAGCTGTGGATTTAACACAGGAATTCTGAAAGCTCCACCAAAAAAATGAAGTCCAGTCCTTTGGAAAATGTATCATTTAAAATCTGAAGTACTCATTTTAAATACCTTACTAGTATTACTTATTTTGAACTTTAGAAGGAAGTCAATTCACCATCCAGTTCACTATTTTTACATTACATTTAGGCTGCAAAACGAAGACATGCTTCTTGCACAAACCTCTGTATTGCTGTTACAGTAATGGTTGTGGCTGCTTATGAATTACCCTTTAGCAACAGAAAGGTGCATCGTCATAGAGAAAAGTATTTTAAGCATAGAAATATGACCAGCGGCATCTCTTTCTAATAAATGGAAACTGTTGTCACTTACTCTCTCAAAACCTGAACTGTCTTCTGCACAGAACCAGCCTTCAAAGAATCTAAGATCAGTATACAAGGCCTGTAAACAACAACAAAGTCAGTTTAATCTTTTATTACCAACACTACTGAAGCATTTTTTTTTTTTTTAATATAGCTTAATAAGAGCATCAATAACTAAACAAATGTGCAAGAGAACAGACAAGTCCCTACAGCTGTAGATGTGCAACAAATAGCTGAATCAATCATCAGGGAATTTTTTAATAAGATCTTTAATGATACAACATTAACACGAAAACAGAAACATACCTTTTACAAATTTGCCTTTTGGAATTATTTAAGGAGATCTGGGAGAAGAGAAAATAAAATTAATCTTACAAAAAGTACAAGTATGAAAACAAATGTCCTTACAGATTAAAAGCCAGAGCCTTCCCTTTCAGAAACAGAAAACCATATGAACTCTTAAAATGTGAAACAATAGCATACGCAATGTAAACAGGCAAAGGAGGAATTCAGACTAATTCAAAGTGCCTTGCATAGGCTGCAGACCACATAAATTATGACAGCTGCTGCAAAAAGATGACATAAAATCATTTGTTCAAGTCTCAGAGCCTTCAGAAATAAAGTAATACATTTCCTCTGTCAGTACAGAAAGGCACTTACTTTAGAAATACCTGAATCCAGGACTGAGGCAGAATCAGCAGATTCATTGCCAACTAGTAAAAAAGAACAAATGCAGTAAGTATTAAGAAAAGATTCCGTAAAGTGAAACATTTTCATTTTCAAATTAATGATTATGAGCATTCAAAAATAAATAAATTTTGCTTCCCTTCTAAATAGTGAAATAGCAGATTTAGAGGGCTTCCCATCCTGATAATATTCTTAACGAAATCCAAGAACTTTCACTCATGAAAGAAAATAAGTCACTGCTTTACTTCTCTTCCACTATTTTCCAGAGTTGCAGGAAAAAAAGAATGCAGTGTAGTCCTTGCTATGCATAGTAATACAAAAACACACTACAATTTAAGATAAGAAATAGCTTTTAAGACATTATTTCTTTCTCTCCTTTGAGGATTAATAAACTACCAGAATTGTGTATGAACTGAGATAATTTTCTTTTAAATTATCTACCTTTGGAGAATAAAATTCTGTTTGCATCCGTTTCTTCTTCAGAATAGGCCAACACTGAACCAATTACAGAGTCCTCACTCTTGTTTTCTGACTGAAGTGGAGATAGGTTAAATGAATTCCAATGAGAACATTCTTCATATACAGTTTCTTCTAACCAAGGAAAACAGATAACTGCAATGTACCAATGAGACCTGCCCAACAGTGAGGAGAAGGGGAGGAAAAACATCAAAATTCTGTAACATTTGGTTCTGAAAAGGATATGAGAAATTTTTATAACATTGAGAGCTTGTGGACAACTGATCTATTACACATAACTTGCTGCAATGTTCTTTCATGGCATCACATATAAATCCTCTGACTCACTTTTTTCTTTACATTATGGCATAACTGCAGAAATAAGTATAAATTCCTTCCACAGCAATTTATAGCTCTCTCTTACCACCCACCCCGCTGTAAAGTAATAAAATAATTGGTGACAGTTATCCCAGCTTTGAATATAGTTGCAAGTTAAACATGACTCTGCCTTTATGTCTTCTTGTAGGTAGGTATTCAACAGTAACTCTTAGTTACTATTCAGCTTTCCTGGAGTCAGTTATTCAGCCAGGTCCAGTCACAGTTCTACTCCTGCTCCTTTTACCATTAACCCCATGAGTTGCTGAGACTCTTTATAGAAGCATTACTTGCAGAGGAATCATCATAATGACATGAAATTTATTTTGAAATACATAAAAGCAATTTTCAGTAAAGCCAAGAATAAAGATATAAAGTTTACTTACAACCGCACTAATTAATAGGAAAATTAACCTCTGAAGAGACTTCAAAATTCCTCATTCCATACCTCACTGCTATTTCAAAATCTAGTGTGTTCATTTCCAATTATCCAAGCCAGCAGCCATATGGCCTACAGCCATAAATCTTTAAAATCAACATTCAAATACTAAAATCTTTAAATATCAAAAAAGATGTCTGAAACACACAGACTTACTCCTCATTCACAGGCACGAAGATATAATCTTTACTGAAGATGTTTATGTGACGAGTCCATGTTCTTACTCTTTTGTGTCTTCTTTGTGCCACTCTGAAAACCAAATGACAATTACTATTGAGATTTGTTCGTTAAGAGTAATGTATACAGATTTAGCATTCCTACATATTCCTAGTGCCTCAACAGGCTTTTCATTTGCTCTTGACATATTTTTCTTTTGACAAAAAATAAAACAACAGCAAAACATTATGCCCAAGTAAATAACAAGCCATTTCTGAACCATCTTAAACATTCTGGTAAACTATCCATTGATTTGAAAGATTTGCTGCAATTATTTATCTAGTAATTATTTACTACACCAAATGCAAAAATTGCATCTATCTGTCAGTGTAAAAGCAGATCTACAGAAGTTCACAACATCCATGAGTTCAACTTCACCCTGTCTCTTTTGAGGACCTATTGAAATAGTCTTTGTTTCAGAAGCATAAAAATGAATGCCTTTCCTAAGGTACCCCAGCAAACTGGTAGCAAAGTCAGAATCACAGCACAGATTCCCTCCAGTCCTGAGCTTTAATGGTTAGATCACATTTCATTTCTACGCCTACAGACATAAAGCATGGTAAAAGGATTCTAGAAGAATAAAAAAAATATTACAAGAAATTTCAGTTCAGATTTTCAGTTTCTTATTATTATTAAGTTAAAATGGAGACTAATGGTTCAAAAAGCTTTGTACCAATATGAACTGAAAGCAAAATCAGGACAAAATCCCATCGCTATTTTAATTACATTCTGAACAATGATTAAGAATCATAACTTCAGTGTGGGAGGAAAGGGAAAAAGGAGCAAGGAAAGGAAAACTAAGCTGCTGAGAAGCTCTGCAGAGGACATTGTTAAGTGAAGGCTTGCTGCTAACATTCTCTGCTATGTGATTGAGAAGTGCTGGAAATATAAAAGGGGAGGACATGTTTGCAACTTGGAAAAACACCTATATAAGCATCTAAGCTTTCTTAACATGGACAATTTTGTCTCCACTCCAAAACATTCAGGATCAGAAGGGAGATGTTTAAAAAAAAAAGACATTCTCTGAAGCACTGTTTCTTGGATTTTTGAGATTAGCATGTGTAAAGTTGGCATGTAAGAAAATTTTTTCAGTGAAACTTTGGAAAATAATTTGTTATCAGTGTGCAACATGAAATATGTGCTAAATCTAAAAATATTTCTGGACATACATTACTTAAAATGATGTAAACCTTTCAAAACTCTGAATCTATAATTAAAAAAAAATCAAAATCCATAAGTAAAGTGAAGAAGAAGAAACTCCTAATAACGGGGAAAGGTATTAACACTTTTATTCCTATTCTAACATGCAGATTTTACTTAATATATTTCAACTGTGAGTTACAACATTCAACCACTAGTTGGTTGGAGAACACTGATTAATATTTTATTTGCTAATTTGAAGACAAAATGCAAATTTCTCAATAGCAGCAACAAACAGTTTGCTTAAGGTCATTATGCCATCTAACAAGAACTTACGAAACTTTGGGATCTTCCTCAGAGAATTTTTCTGTCCTCGTCAGGCATTTATAGAAGAAGCTGCTAAAAATGTGTGTACGCTCAGCAAGATGTTTTGGTGCCTTCTCCAACAACAGGTATCTACCAAAGAAAAAAGATGGAATTTAGCATACTCCCTTTCTAGAAAGTATCTTTACTGATCAAGAGAATAACTATTATTTTAATGACTTAGCATATTTAGATTATGTTTAATATCAGTTGTCTTCACAATGTTTTTTTTTTAATCTACTCTATTTTATATTGTTTACACGAATGAATATCACCACAGACTGAAAAGGCCAAACAGCTACTAAAAATGCAGATGCTTTTATCTCAGGTTTGTGCTCCAGTATTAATGTTGCTACCCTTATTTTTACAGTTATGTTTCTAGGACTTGCAATAAAGCCAGGCCTAATATAAGGCTATGCAGTTTTATACTTTATTTACAAAAAGCACAGAACAGGTCAGTAGTACAAATTGCCAACTTGACTTGTACAAGTTAGACACATGAAAGTTGAGATGAACTTTCTACAGATACTCATTTAGTATTGTATTACTGTTGATCATTTTACTATTAAACAATGACCTGAATATTTATTCTGTCACTCCAGAAGGCCAAAGCTCTCCAATATTTAAGTAATACTACATAAGGTGCCTCCAGTTTCATTTAATGAAATATGTAGCATAGTCATATATCATACAGGTTTTACCACAATGAAAGTCAAGACTATGGGAAGAAGTCTAACAAAAAGCAGGGGGTTTTCTGCAATAACTGCATCAAATTCCTTTCACAGAATCACAGAATTACAGAATTGCCAGGGTTGGAAGGGACCTCAAGGATCATGAATCTCCAACCCCCCTGCCACAGGCAGGACCACCAATCATCCCACCTAATGCTAGACCAGGCTGCCCAGGGCCCCATCCAATCTGGCCTTGAACACCCCCAGGGATGGGGTATCCACAACCTCTCTGGGCAGCTGTTCCAGTACCTCACCACTCTCTCTGTAAAGAATTTCCCCCTGACGTCCAACCTAAATCTCCCTTCTCTCAACTTAAAACCATTTCCCCTTGTCCTGCTGTCACTCACCCTTTCAAAGAGTTGATTCCCCTCCTCTTTGTAGGTTCCCTTTAGGTACTGAAAGGCTGCAATGAGGTCACCCCGCAGCCTTCTTTTCTCCAGGCTGAACAAGCCCAGCTCCTTCAGCCTGTCTTCATAGGGGAGGTGCTCCAGTCCCCTGATCATCTTTGTTGCCCTCCTTTGGACCCTCTCCAACAGCTCCCTGTCTTTCTTGTACTGGGGGCTCCAGACTTGGACACAGTACTCCAGACAAGTAAGCATTTGATTACTTACTTAAGATAGAAATCAATGATGACATCATTAAGAAACTCTCCGTATTCTAAGCATTTTAGGTCTTCCCTCGTGACTCCAAGTCCTCCTTTTGCAGGTGGGGGTGGATAAACAATCAGACTAGAAAACACAAAACATGCCAGAACAGTATAGAACCATATTTTACACAACACTTCTTTTGAATGGTTATTCTACATGAAAAAAACTTTCTAGAAAACCTGGTAAAGTGCAAGTTCTCAGAATCTTTAACCATCTCAAAAGTTCTTTAAGCCAAATAGTAAGAATGTTTACAAGAGTGTTTATGTTCCCCACTGCACACCAGAATTTTGAGAAAACTTCTGAAAATGAAATTTTTTACTTTTACCTTTTCTTTTTTCTTTTCATAAAAGTAATTGATAAATGGCTATACAAATTGGGGAAAATACTAGGGCACATACACTCAAGAAGTTCTTAAGAACAATTTATTCCAACTAATATTTGCCATGCTAAATATACGATACCTGCATTACACATTTGCATGTTCCCATTTTCTAATATATTTTGTTAAGCTAGGTCCTGTAATAACTAGTGAAATGTATGACAAACTAGTTATATATAGATGAAATGTGATAGAACAGTGAAAGAAAACACTGTTTAAAGGAAAAAAAAAATGACACAGCTTAAGTTACCAATCATTTTGCTGTAATATGAATGTGGATATTCATAGAGGCCATAAGAACCCTATCCTCCCATGATGCATCCATGATCTGGCCTAGCAGTCACAATTCAGGTATTCCCTGTTTTCTGAGGTTCTATTTCATCCTGTAACACACTCATCCTGTCTGTTAACTATTTTTAATAACTACATTTATATCTAGCAATATTATATTTTACAACGCAACACCAAAATTAACTAGAAATGACAATTACATACTTCTTAACTGCTCCAGATTCTCCTACTTCTTTCCATTCTTCATCCAGTGCAGAGGATAGAGAGATAGAATAGCAACCACTATTCTGCTTATTCGCAAGGGCATAACTGGGCCTGGCCACTTTTGGTTTTGGTTTCTACCAGAAAAAGAAAATGAAAAGTACCACAAAACATTATTCAGCATTTGAAGCTACAGAGCAGCCCAAGGAATGTCAAGAGGTCTCTGGAATGGGAAAGATACACAGCTTCTTCTCTACTGCAGGCAATCACTTCTAGTTCAACTGATAAATGGCTCCATTGCTTCTTACATGACTAACTCCTAGCTTGCTGCCCTGAGGTCACCACAACAGCAGGGAATCCCTATGGTCTGGGCATATGCAGACATAAGTCAGTCAAAAGCTTGAGCATTTGCCACTTATTGATGAGGTCTCTATATGCTATCCCTTCACACATATCATCTAGTTTATCACAAACTGTCCCCTTTGTAAGAAATAAATAGCAAACATAATTGTGTTGTGTTTTGTTGTTTTTTTTTTTAAATACAGATATACAAAACCAGTTTTCTGCACCTGTCTGATCCAATACTGAGTGGAATATGTGAACACCAACAACTGGTGATGAATCGAGCAACATTTACTCGCTAACCTGAAATGTAGGGTCTTGAGCAAACGAGATACTCTCTTTTGTTGCACACTGCTTTAGCAGATCCTCACTGGAACTTATAAAAGAGCTCTCTTCAGGAGACAAGTCCTTAAACAAGAGTAAAACTTGCTTCAAAGACAACAGTTCGGGGAGATCTGGTGCTCTGTTTTTCTTGCTTATCTCTGTAATTAATTCAGACAGCCTGATGACTTCTTGTTCTGTGAGTGGTTGGGACAGTTCAAGAAAAATAAATTCACTAGATTTGGCTGAAAAAAGGAAAGAATGGATATTATTAACAATTTTGCTGTGTGACAAAAGTTCATCTGCACAGCCACAAAGGAGCATAGAGAAACAACAGCAGGAGAAGACCAAGTAATATCCTTCCTGGGTTCATCATAGAGGTTCATCAGCTCATCAGATGCCCAGCTCCACAAGCCCAGAGAAGCACAAGGGCACAATGGCAGGCAAAAACCCCAACTGAGGATTTGGAAAAATGGACACCCCCATCTGGGCTCTTCCCAGGGCTGTCTCAGGAGAGCCTCAAGTTCAGGTGTGAACCCCATCCAGATGAGCTGATGCCAAAGCACATTGTGGATAAAAGGGGTTTGCTGCTGAGGTGCATTGTACTCATGTTGGGACATAAGGCAAGAGTACTCACATGGTTCACTGCTAACACGTTTTCCTAATTGGGTTTCAATCTTTTCTAAATAATCCACAGACAACCAAATGAAAATTATTGTTGTTGAAGAACAGCCACCATCATTTTTCCACAAGCCAAACCTTCTCACATCCAAGGTATCCACACTCAGCTTAATATTCTTATTAAGTGCCACTGTAAAAAATAGGATTTAAAGTGACTAACTATTCATGGCTGTAGAAGAGAATGATACACGTCGTAGCATGAATAATTACGAGTTACTACATACTAAAATATATACACCATCAGAATTTATTAAAACTGTAATTGTATTTCATTCCTGGCACCAGCGAAACCATTTAAATTACATAAAACAAAGTTATCAAACCAAAAATACCAAAAATTTCCTATTTTCTTTAAGTCCAATCCAGAACTGCTCAGAAAACTTTTCCTGTGAGATACAGTAAACCATGCATCATCTTGGGAAAACAGAATGAATGCAAATCTACAGTTATATTCCTCTTAGCTTTAGTTAGCTTTACATTTTTAATAAACCTAAGGGTCTAAAATCCCTGATGTGAAAGCATTTGTTTGAAATATGTGAAATAGTTACATTTAATACAGTCCAACACTTAGTATATGCAGGAATGCACAAACAAGGCCACTAAAACTACAAGTTCACCTTAAAAGCACAAAAAGTAGCTGTCATCAATGTTTACAGATACCACTACCTCCATTTACTGAAAAATATTTGTTTCAAAAATGATTTGGTGTCTTTGTGAAAGATTATGAATTTTATCAACAAAATCATAGGCTGAGTATCATGTAATACTCTAAAGATTAAATTTAAAGAAAAGGCTAAATAAGTTTGCCTTACCTTGAAATGGTATTGTAATATACTTGGTCATAAACTGAAATGAGATTGGAAAACAAGATAAATGAAATCATTTTTTACGAGTTGAATGTTTTATTACCTCCACATCCTCCCTTGTTTATAGTCAAATAAACTTAAAATAATATGCCTAATTTGAGATTTGTCTTTTTCACATAAAACAAAATTCCTAAATGCACATTACGAATTTAAACATTTACATTCAGATTCTTTAAAAAAAAAAAAAAAAAAGATTAACACTTAAAATGAATTTAAGGAGATATCCTTTGATTAAGACTGTCAGCTGCACTACTTGAACGAAGGACACTCTGTAAACTGTCCACACTGGGATGTGACCTTGGTATTTGCACTAATCTTTGAATTAAATGCCTTTAAAGTTTCTATGTACATTGTCACTAGCCAAGTTTTTCTAGCATAACTGAAGAATGTTTTATCATCACTTTTACTGAAGGGTGTAGTATGTGCTGAGAAAAGAGGTTTCTCTTCCCTTACTACAGTACACACGAAGAATAAACTTGTTTGTCCCCCAGGGAAAACTTTCCACCTAAAAGTATTCTATTCCAACTCATCTCTGGAATTATTTTGTCATTTAATATAGGAAATTTCCATGAGATGTTTTCATTACTACATGAGAACTGCTGCACAACACTGCTGTTTTGTTATTATTGCAAACTACAGTATTTCAAAATGTCTTACTGTAAACAAAAAAGACATTTGTTTTCCAACATTTTTTAATTTCTATACATACAGTGAGCCTGTTCAAAGACTTATATAAGTTCCCACAGTTGGTACTGCAATTAAAGTACACCTTCACTTATATTCCTACACTTTGTTGAGCAGCATGTTACCTATGCAATTAATGCTTTTAGTATCATTTTACGGCTCTCTGAAGCTACAAACAATTTTCTGTTTAAATGGCAAGATTAATGCATATTATACATGTGAACTATAATTATCTTATTCTAGTATCTGTATTATTTTTAAGAAAATTTCATTTCCAATTGACATCTACTCTACCACAGCCATTATTTGCTGTTACAATTCATAAAAAACTACCCCAAAATGATTTCTCTCCCAACACAGCATTTACCAGAATCTTTACCTCTGAAATCTAGAGCTACACAAAATTTCAGTTAACTTTTCTACTGACAACAATCCAAGCATACAAATATCTTTCAGCCAAAGCAATTTGATGTAATGATAATCAAAAAGTGCATCCACACTAAATTCCATTGGCTCTATTTAAACAGAATTTTGTTTTTTAAATATTCTCAAAAGTAACCATAATAGACAAACTTACCCTAACAGGACCTGTTGATGACCATTTAAATCTCCCAATGTATAGGCTTTCAAATTCAAAATCTAATGCTGGCTTCATCTGTTCACTATGTACAGTTCCAGAAGGCAAGTTGGAGGCACATTTATCTTCATCTGACTTTGTTAAAAGCTGAGGAAAAAAAATGGAGGGGATATATGAGCTTCTTTAAATGAGTTCTTTCCATTCTGTAGACTTACGTATTTTCTCTTTATGTTTTTAAGAACTTATTCACAAATTGCATAATAGAAACCGTACATGTTATCACAGTCATTACCAACTATCTCCCCAAGGGCTGAATAGTATCTTACTCTGATCTCCCAGTACCAAGACATAACCTGGATTCTTTGCCATCTATACCCAAGCAAAAACTCAAACAATGGAGCAACAGAAAATGCTCCCCTTTTGATACCAAAGATAAAGATCCAATTCAATGCTTATTATAGTAACAATGCATTTGTGAGACAAAGCAATGATGACTATCCTGGCCTGTTTTGGGATTACAAATATATACCAAATCCAAGTCAAACAAAGCAAAACAAGACTCATCAAGTCCAAAACAGGGCAACTGTTGTTGTTAGGTTTAGATTCAAATTCCACTGCTAGCCACATAGGAAATGGAACTTCACCTCACCTCTTTCTGCTGTCCAGAGAGTTGTTTTAACTTCTCCATGTAGCAAAAGTTAGAACAGAGGACCAGAAAACAAGAGAAAGTACTATGAAAAAAAAGTACTACAGCTACTGTTTAGTTGTGACTAGTCATATCTGCTCTAGTCATTTCACAGTTGTCCCATAACATGCAAGAAAAAATAAACAGCGAATAAATAATGATTTGACTGACATAACAATACATAGCTCAAAAACTGCACTACCTGCTCTGTGTGACTTTCCACATTATCTTCCAATAGCTTTTCAGAGAAATGGTCATCAGACTGTTGGTCTATTTCTTGAACATCAGTGATACTATCCTGCAGTTGTTCCATGCATTTTGGTTCAGAAAGTCGTTCTTCATCCTTTGGTTCAGAAGATCTGTCTTCTTCATCACTGGAGAGGACAACTAAAGAGTAAAAAAAAATATACATATACTACAGGATCCAGACTTGAGAATATTTCACTGCAGATTTCAGATGAGCAAAAAGCTCTTTCTCTTCCAGTATATAATTCTAAAGTATGTAATCCCAGCCAGCCAACGGCTGTGTTTATGAAGGTGTCTGTAAGAAGTAGTTTTCTATCTTTACTACCACTTTGTACCTCTTCTTCAAAACTGCTTGACTCCCAAAAGAGAGAAGTGACAAAATACCCGCTTCAACAACAACAACAAAAAGTATTTTACTCAATTCAATTCAAATATTATTCAAACGTCCAAGATTGTTTTTTCTGTATGTTCAAAGCCAGCTGCAGAATACAGACTGGAATTTGAAAATCCTGCTCTCTACTCTGTTTATCAAGTACAAAATGCTCTGCACTCTGCTAGATTTAACTGGGCACTGTTCTCTGATCTGCATAATGCATTGTGAACAGTACAATATGTGTCCTCAGTCTTTGGTTGTATATATTTCTAGTCAGTCATGAATGAGTCCCTAAGCATGCCAATAATAAATGCCAGCAACACAGATACAGTACATACTTGGATCAGCTGAAACAAGTAGCCGATTACTCCTGCCGATTCTGTTCCTCAATTTGTTCAGGTACTGTGATGTGTCCATCTTTACCTTCCTGATGGTACTAACTCGAGGTGAAACACTAGTGGCAAGCTGTTTTTCTGACAAATTACTGGGAGCAGACTCAGAGCAAGCCTCCTCTGAACAGCTGTGAACAGGTCTTAATTGCTTACTGGTAGGAGTGCCTTTACAGTTTCTCTCCAATGTCTGAGCAACGCAATCCTGCACCATGTTAGATTTGTGATCTTGTTCATCTTCACAAGGAATTCTGCAGCCAGAAGAGCGAGTTGAACTTAATCTTTGCTCTTTCTAGAAAACAGGAATCAAAGGATATTTATTTATTCCTTAATCTTTCTACAATGGTTCAGATTAGTAAAAATTGAGACTTTGCTACATTCTTCATAAAATATGTAATCAAAGCTCAAGGAGACTGCCCTTAGAGTTGAAGACGGTGTAATTTCTTTCTCCCTGTATTTCTTACTACAAAATAGACAGGGGAGACAACCTGTTCAAAGCCTACTCAAAACCACTTCAAACTGAAGAAGAAACTATTTCCGATTTTCAGTTGCTCTCCCAGTATTTGACAACGAACGACCAAGCAACAGCAACATTTGTTACTTTGCGAACGTGTGATCTGGTCAACTACCTACTTCAGTGAGTTTTTAATTAGAAAGTCACAGATCTACCTTTATGATATTCAAAAGCTTAAATAGAAACCATAACATTTACTTGACTGATTCAGTCAGCCTTTCCTTTTTTCCTTTTTTCCTTTTTTTTTTTTCCTTCAAATCTTATTGAATGAAAAGAATAAATCTTTAGGGAAGGATATGATAGACAGAAGAGGAGGAAGGAATATGACATCCACAAAATTTCAGTAATTCCAGGTATACTTTGCAAGTCTTGTACTAAAATTTCCTAATCAGTTCTATACCATCCATGAAAGAAACTTAAGTACCTAGATTTCTTATTTCCAATTTTGTTTTCCTCCGTGCTCCAGTCTGAAGGAAATGTCATTCTTCATCTTTTGTGACCTTTCTGCTACAACAAGCATATTCTGCTATTGTGAACAGAAGAACCTACATTCACTCTTCTGGATGCACCACTAAACTCCTTTCCCTCAAAAATGTAATAATATTGGTTGGTACAACTCTCATATTTTAGATGTTGCTACTGTAGCTACAGAAGCACTCGTGTGCATTTAGTGTGGGCACACATGCACACAAGCATAAACATTAAAATTAAACACAACTTACAGACTGTAGGAGCAATTTTTCTGGAATGTGTTCTTTACAATCATCGGAAATATGGCCACTAAATCTTCTTTTCCTTTTCTCAGAATCCAAAGAGCTTGATCCCTTCCAACTAGGAGAGGTAGTGTTCATGTTTTTTCTCTTCTTATCCAGTTCATCAGAGCTCTTGTTTTCTGTGTCAGAAAATAAGTATTTTATGGGGTTATCCTTAAAAACTTTTGTATTTCTTTATATTTGTTCTGTTTCAAATAAAATGCATGGAAGTAGACACCTTCCACAAGAGATTGTTCTTCTCTTTCACAATTGTGCATGGTTGCCAGAAAATGTTCCTTAATATAATATGGTAAAGATTGTTACCACAAGAATTGATGAGAATGTAGCCAAATTTAGAATTCCCACATATGGGTTAGCACTCTATATTCCACGCATTTTCTTTTCTTTTCTGCTGGATGCAACATTCTGCAATTCTTGCTCAGAATGTCAGAAATTACTACGAAACAGTGTTCAAAAGATTGCATATTCCCCTTAGAGAATCAGCAGAGAACTCATTATTTTCAACAAGAAAAAACAAATATTTAACAAATTTCAGCGGGGACCGCAATGTGAGAGTTAATGTATTCAATTCTTGAGTATAAAAGGGTTTTTTAATACAAAAAATCATTATTTAATGGTGTAGTTAGGTTTCTCTCAGTTTCCTTTTGTTCACATATCTGATTCATCATTGCTTAATTCTTATTTAAAAACACTGTTACTTGATATATTTTAACATACTTGTAAAAACTTGATGATGAGGAAACATATACACTTCATGCAAAAAAATACTTAGTTTATTTCTCTGCTCCCCTCATAATACTAGACTAAATAAAGACCCCAAAAAACTCCCAGCAACTCATATTTAAATAGTAGATTATTGCTCACTACAAACCTTTCTTCTCCAGCTTTCGTCTTCTAAAGGTCAAGACAACGTTACCTCTCTCTGGTTCCTTAGAAAGATTGCCATCTGACTTTGTCAAGCAATGCTCTGCCCTGTGAAGAACATTAATGAAAACTTATCTTTAATTTTGAAAGAATACTGAATAAGAATCTCAGCAGAAACAAGTTAATTAGATAAACTTTTACCTCTCTGACAAGCACGTGGAGCTTGGCAAATGAAATGCAAACTAATCCAGTTCCCATTATGAAAATGCTAAGATATTCTGGCATAACTAACGAAATGGATGCAAGAAATGAAGATCTGACATGCTTGATATCAGACACTGAAATATTATTTTGCAGCAAAGCATTACTGCCATGAGAACATAAAACAAATTTTTAAAAGAGAACAAGTCAGCTGATTGTATCCTTGCCTTTGTCATGAATGCAGTAGGAATGAGGCAAAGTAGTATATTTTTTATTTAGATTTAGAACTGATAATAGAGTCCACTGGATAAGTTCCTGCAACGAGAAGAGACTTGAAATAGAAATTCCTGCTCAAAAGAGCCTGAAACAGTAATGTTGAAAGGGTGTAAGGGGAGGTGAAAGGATGTGAATGAGAAAAGAAAGGGACAGAAAACAAAGAGACAGGTTCAGGAGAACTAGAAAACATACAGGAGTTCATCTGAGTTTGTAATCTCCTTCTAAAAAGAAAAATATCCAAGAAAGTAATCAGTTGGTGTTTTTGCTGTTGATTGTGTGCTTGTTTTTAATAAATTGGAGAATTTAATCTGGATGCACTGGTAGCCTGAACGTTATGACATCCCTACATTTGAGTCTGGACCTTGTAAATATACCTTCAACTTCACTGAAGGATAGCCACAGATTAAAAAAGTCTACATAGCCATACTTTGATTTCTAGCGTACGCACTATGATACCATGTTTAATTAAATGTTCATATGATATTTTCTTAGAGAAACTTAATTACTTTCAGTATATAAGACTTCGCTTCTGAAAATTTAATAGCAAACTAATCTTTGTGACCTCTCCTTTATTTGCTGTGAGTGTTGGAAGGTAAGAAAATAATTTAAGATTTCATAGATAAAGCAGTTTATCTATGCTCTGGAAAACTCATTCAATTTCTCCTTTTGTCATTTCTTTTAGTACAAAATGATTGGGGGTTAATAATTTTATAATTGCTGAACTTGGAATTTTGCAGTCCAATTTGCAAAGAGCTAACTGATGATCATAACAACTGAAATCACAAAGAGCTGAGTTCAGACAAGAACATCATGAAACACAGGAAAAAATACCCTCGACTCTTTGACTAGACAGTCAAAATTGTTTTTGAGCAGGCGCCTAATCTTCAGTACCATATCTGTAAACTGCATTGCTCTTTGGGAATGCTGTGAAGATACATAAAGATGTCCTGACTGCTCTGATATTACAGTGCTGAACATTAGATAAGCATGACAAAGAAATCACTAATTCTCTTTCCATTCATGATAAACCACAAATGTGTCCATATGCACAAAAAGTGTAAATGTACAGAAGCAATATTATTCTCTCTGTATATTGAAGAAGACAAAGTCTTCCATGGGTGAGGCAGCTCTACTTACAGAATAGCTGCCTTACTGCAGAAAACTTATTTTGGAACCAACGTATCTCTCAATTTATATGTTTGTATGCAGATCTACTATTTAATCTGACTGCTTTGAATGATGATATTTGAGTTGTTCTCAACATCGATGAGTACTAAGTATGAAATAAATCTATCAACAACCCTAAGTTCCTTAAATTCATTATACTGACCATAACTTAAACAAATGCATTTCACACTAGTTGCAGCGTGAAAAAGCAATGCAAAATCCACTAATTCTATAACATCAAAAGGAAGAAAGGAAATGGGGAACTCGCATCAAATTCTAGCTGACAGAAAAAGGTTAACTTATTACCACCCTGTTTTGATAACACACAATTCTTTGACTTAATCTGTGATTTCCATAGTACAACAAAGGAACAATTTTCAGTAAGGATGAGCCCATATTCTAGCTATTTTGATGGTACCAGAGAATATCAATATGGCCACGTATGTATATTCATAAGGGGGGAGCTTTTAATCTGCTCTGAGAGAAAAGGGCTCTACAGAATCAATGCCAAGTGTATTCTAAACACAGACATTAACTACTGAAAGGTGACAAGGATCAAACTATATCTTTGTTGGAAATAATCACAGGTTCTCCATTTCCCATGTGGTAGCTATTAAGACTTGCACTAATACCCTGAGGTCACAAGGAGGGTTGGGGGGAGAGAGAGAGGTGCAAAATCCTCCTAACATTCCTGCTTTCTAGTAACAAGTTTTTCACTTCACACATCGTGTGGGATAGAAAATTAATCCTTCAACACCAAATCTAAAGTAAGATGAGTAAATCACGTACTAAAAAAAAACTGATTCAGACCCTTTTTAGTCAAAAAGATGTTAATTAAAAGTACAGATTTTATTTAATCTATATAAATATTAGCTATATATTTATATCCATACTTATCTAAAAAGTCTGAAGTTTAATGGTATATCTCTAATGTATTTCCGTCATTGGGCATTATTCTCTTCACAGGGTTACATAGAGCAGAACAGTTATCAGCTATTTCAGTCCTGAAGAGTTCAAAGCCATTCTCATACTTATGATAAAACTGAACAGCCAGCCTTCAACTATGAGCATGAAAAACTACACAAGATGCTTCCTTGGGTTTGGAGAATTATATTTAAAAGTTTATGCTTTTCTCTCTACGAATTCACTAACTCCTCTTGTCCAAAAGAATACCAAGAAGAAAAATAGAATTCTAAAAATTATAAATTTTATATATTTTGTAAAGCAAAGTGATAACTACAGAAAATTCCAAACTCATCAACACTTAGTCCGTCCCAAGTTATGAAAAGATGTCTTAGCAACAAATGGCATACTTCTAGAGTGACACTTAACAGACAGTTTAATGAAGCATTCTACATCTCTTATTTAAATTGCAACTTTGTCAGGTTAATTTAAATACTAACTGAGATCCCAACAGTAAAAGAGAAAGCAATTCCTACTAATTCTGGTTCTCTATCAAGTTCATCTATCAGAATGAGGAGTAAGACTTAATTTTCTCAAGAATGCATAAGATTTCTTATAGCTAGAAACTGTTGATTATTCCTACAGTCACCAGTCGTTCTTCTTTTCCCTTCTCATTCTATTTTTTTTCCCATAAATTTCTTGCTATTTGTTTCTGTGAATACTTTGCTACTGAGCAAAGGCCGTAAAGGAAGAGAAGGTCATAAAAGGCAAGAGCTTACTTCAAGTTCAAATGTCATCCTGGACTGAAACAAACACTGTGTAATTCAACTATCTGCTAGTATAGCACATCCAACTTTGCTATGATAGTCAACGTAAACATCAGAAAGAAAAAAAAGCATATGCTAAGCAACGAAATACACACACATACAGTCTTTTAACTGTGCCAGTCTGTTGATGAGATTGCGACCTCTGGTGGATTAATGAAAAAGGAAATGAACAAAGAGGAATTTGCCAAAATCTTTGCAAAGTTAATTGAAACTGTAGAAGAACATATTAAGAGCAGCAGCAAAGCAAGAGTGAAATATGCTTGAATTACATGGCAACCCTCACAAATCAAAAACACTGATCTATCAAAAATGGAAATTCCTTCTACAAGAGAAAACTAGCCCATCAATATCAGGTACAACACAAATGAGAATAAATGCAAAGTTAAAATGGTTTGTTGGAGATGTTAGTTTTCATTCAAGAACACTGAAATGCTTCAAGGCAGGGATATCACAAAAATTGTTTCAGGGCAGTTCTTCTCCACTGTGAAGCTGCATCATTTCAGGAAGACTGAAAAAATCAGCACGGAGTAACATACCTTTCAGACAGAAAAGAACTTTCATGAGGAGAACTTAATATTTGACACGTTTGTGCGCTGGCAACAGATGATGAAGCTAGTTGACCCAATTGTAATTTCTCAGCATCAGATAAATTAGAATCAATTAATATGTGACTGTCCACGTATTTCCTTCCAATTCTCGTCCTCAGGACATTCGTCAAGATAACTTGAGGTTGCCTGCCATATATATATAACAGTAAATCATAAATACCACACTGAGATCTAGAGAAGGAAGTTTCATGTTAAATTAATGCATCTTGGAGGCTGGATGATCCCAAAAATCAGCAAACATCATTACTCTTTTATCAATCTTATGTCATTTAGAGATATAGAACAAAATGCCATTATGGAACTTAAAATCCAGGGTAAGCAGATAAACAGAAAATATAAAGTAAGAATCCAAACAGCGAAAGGCCAGTGAGATAATTTCAACTTAACCAGATACAATTCACACTACATTGCTCCTAATACATCATTAAAGTAAAATAAAGTTTAATAACCTGGGTCTATCTATTTATGCAATAGCTGTATATACATCTCCCTCAATTCTGGAGCAAGCAATCTTAATTTTCCTGTGAACAAGAAGCCTCCAGTAAAACAGACCGAACTTTCCCAAGCAATTAGTCAGTAGGTAAAAAGTAGCACATACACAAGAAGTTAGCAATAGATTTTGTTCCCTTCCTCAACTTCCAGGTGACATTGTACAATGCAGCAAAAGCAAGGCTCAGAAAAAAATCTTTTAAGTGTTAGAAGAGACAATCACAAAAATAAGCTAACTAAAAATATGGATACGCAACTGTCCACTTGACCACAAACATAAACAGCAGCACAACTTATTTCACATTATGCAACTAAAGCTGGCTTGTTTTATAGCCTTTGACTTCTTTCCCTTTTCTTTGTCAAGATTCAAATTCTACTAATTCCATTCCAAGTTATTTAGGATTACGATGTATTGTCGTGGTATTTTTGCCATGACAAACAACGTTGTCTTTTGGGTATCTACTGAGTAATTCTCCTGTTGTCTTCACAAAGTACACTCCAGTATAGACTCCATGGAGGGGAGCGCTCTCTTCCTTCACTGAGATGTAAACCTAATTTTAATCAGGAGGCTGTATCAAGGACAAGCTGTTGCAGAGGCCTACAGGTGATATGCAACGATTTATTATTAGAAGTATGATATAATGGAAGTCTGATGCAAAAGAATATCACAGTCTGGATGCAAACTCCACTAAAGGAAGTCCCTAAACTGTTTATCATCAGACGCTCCGAGAGAAACATCAGTGAAAAAGACATTAACTTTAGCCAGACGTTTCCTAGACATCTGCAACTGACCACTGTCTAAGGAAAAAAAAAGATACTAGACTTGATATGCCTCTCTTCTGATCTTTCTGCCTGTTTTCATACTTTCATAACTAGTCTAAAATAGTGACAATACATTCCCAACCTTGCCTGATAAAGAAGGTCATTAAATGCAAGTGTGTTCTTCTTTTCCCAATAAGTAAAAAGTGAAAAAAAAAAAAAACTATTTTTTGAGAGCCTAATGACTGAAACAGGATGAATTGATCTTGCCAGTACAGGATCACCGACAAGCCAACTGATCAGAAATCTCATTACAGTGCACCTGGCACCATCTTTCTCATAGATTATCAAAAGGAAGTAGATGCAATGGAATTTAATCAAGTCAGATGATATAAGAATGTGAATTAAAATGAACAAGACAGCTGTGATACAACATAGAATACTTTCTGATGAAAAACAACTGCAAGGAAAATGATTCTGTTTAGTGATATAAGGCAAAGACAACATACCTTTTAGACAGAAAAGGGCTGTGGAGAGCAGGGTTTAAAATTTGCCATATCTTTAGGCTGGCAACAGATGATGAGGGTGGTTGATTTGACTGCAGCTTGCCAGCATCAGAAAAATTAGCATCAGTTTTAGGTTGTGCTTGTGTGTATTTTCTTCCTATTTTCGTCCTCAGGACATTCGTCAAGATAACTTTGGGTTGCCTGCCATGCATATAATAATAAATTAATAATAGGGTGTTGAGAGCTTGTTAAGTCACATGAATGCAACAAAGATTTTTCATGAGTTTCCTGTCTCTGCATCATATCTTATATCTTCAATAGTATTGACGCCATTTTCCCAGCAATTTACAAAGTAAATCTCTCTGTAGGAAAGGAAACATAACTGCATCTCTTATCAGCATATCCTTCCAAGGTTTCTTCTTATATTATCAATGACTGATAGGTCCATATGTGATTCTGAAGTGGTAAACCTTCCATTCAGGGGCAAGGAAATTTCAGCTCTTATTTTTTATGGCAAAATGTCAGAAGTGGTGTCATAATGGCCCTATACACTATTCTGAAAGTATACACTTGAGTATTTTCAGGGTACAACATTAACCACTCATATTGTGGCATCTTGTTTTAGAACCATAAATACTATTGGTTTCTATATCAAAATTCAGAATACAATATTGCTGTAAAATAAAATCAAATAAGATATAGTTGACAGTTTTGAAGCTTCAACTGATGATGTTTCTTCAATTTCACTACAGAAACAACATACAGTTATGAACTGCTAAGTTAATGAAAACTCCCTGTTAAGGTTCTTTAAACAAGAATTAAATATGTATCAAAGCCAGTAACTTGAACAGTTTTCTTTAAGCTGAAAGTATTACATATGATAGATGATTTATCAGCATTTATCCTAGATTGCTGACTACAATTTCAAACAAGTGAGAATTAGACTTGTTTTATCAGGGCTGTTTTTAAGAGCACACATACAAGCTCAGACTCAAGACTACCAATGTAAGAACTCCCTTCTCTCTTGCAATTTCTTGCCTATTCTAAATTGCTCACCTTCTTTTACAGCTATAGAAAGTATTTTACTGTTCACATAGCTTTTACATGCTACAGCAATATTTCTTCAGCAAAAGGCTTGCTCAATGGGTTAACAACTGTTGTGATGAGCTGTGTTCTCATCAACAGAACAGTTATATTGTTTGAGGTGGCAAACAGATCAACTGGCAAGAAAATTACAGAAGAACGGGTATGTCTGAATGTTAAATATATATACATATGTATACATATATATATATGGAACTGCTACATTGATGAAATGTGAACAGGGAAGTGTTTCACAGAATCCTTCTGTTTCACTCTTGCATGAGTTACTGCATGTTGAGATTTCTTTTCCCTTATTACTTGCCATGTTAACATAACACACAACCTCTCAGTGAACAAAAAAGTCAATAAGCTTCCTATGCACAGCCTAAAAACCTGCATGTAAACGACTGCTGATCAATTTTAGTCAGATCTCTGCAATCATTGAATGCCATAATGCAAGTGCAGAATGAGCTGCTGTCGTCAAGAGCTCTTCCAATGGATCTCCTGAACTAGTAATATAATGTTTTTAATCACATACCCCAACACTAACAGTATTTTGAGTATACAGAAACCAGTGTTTATTTAACTGTGAATTACACAGATGTACTACTGCACTAATATGTTAGTAATAGAAATTTCAAAACAGAATAAACAACAACTTTTTTAAAAATCTATTATTGGTACAAATAATACTTCTTCCTGCACACCAACGGGTTGCCCTGTGGGGTATGCAAAACCACTTTGGAGACAACTGTCCTACACAATGGACACTGAACTTAAATAGCACCAATTCAAAGCTAAGTAATTTTAGCTCCAATGAAGGCAGCTTCCTCCACTCTCTAGGATTCCCTTAGAATTTTCCCAGAGGAAAACTAAATGGACAAAAAGTTTTGTGGCTTTGGCTGAGATATAATTAATTTTATTCACAGTACCTCCTATGATGCTGTTTCAGATTTCTGATGAAAAAATGTTGGTAACACACCAATATTTTACTTGTTGTTAAACTTTAACTTGCCTCAAATAATATTAATGACTCAACCTGAAAAATTTTTTTAAAAATTAAAGCACTCGGATACTAAGAATCTGAAAAAGAAGTGTTTCATTTTATACAGGATGGCTCCTAACTACTGTAGGAAAAACAATCCAAGGTTTCAGAAGCAAGAGATAAGCTCTTTGATGGCAAAGAGAAGTCATATGTATGTAGTCTTTGGACTCATCAAAAGACTGATCCAAACCACAGGAGTGCTCCTGAATATTTTAGGCAGAGTCAGGAAAAGTCAGGTAGGCACCTGCTATTTTACACACACTTGTATATACTCTGTGTAATAAGACAAAGTACTTCAAGTATTGTAGATCTATAAAACATTTGTTTTATACTGTGAGGCTCAACATTTTCTTTACAGACATGCTTATCCTACTGACAAACTTGGAAAATTATTATAGGTCTGAGCAACTTAAGGCAACCAAGACACACAGCTGGTCCCACTGTTCAATTTCCATGGAGCAAACAGCATAACTGATATTCAGTTATCTATGGAAGGGTGAAATGCTGTAATTTCCCCAGACTACGGGAATTTTAATAACACCAGTGTTTTAACAGCATAGAATTCAATTGTAGCAGCCTAGCAAACCAAACCTGCAAAGTCGTCTTCAGTACAGGAAGCTGGAGACATTTCCTATGGAAGTGTATTCCAAATCAGAAGTTATAGCTTTTTTTCTGGGTTTCTCAGATGCTCAGAGCCGATATGTTAACACTGGTTTGCAGGGTTACATACAGTGATCAGATCTATACATGTCTTTTTTTGTTGTTGTTGTTCAACTGTAAGGTATACTAGAAATAATGGATATATAAGGAAATGAGAAATATATATATATAAGAAATCTGACAAAATAATTCTGGTGTCCCAGAAGAGAATAAGCAATGGCAAACTAAGCCAGACAGTTCTTCTATTCCTCCAAGAGGACTTGAAACTACAAATAAAACCCTGAATTACCTAAACAGCATCTTTCCTTCAAATACAACACAGAAACAGTCAGCAAGGCCTCAGCAATCTGAACACCTGATTCTGAAATAATTTTTCTGATATAAAAAATAAAAAGCATTTTTAAATTATTAATGTAGATCTCCATGAAACAATATAAACGTTACTCTATGGAACATTCCTATGTTCTCCTGACTACAATCATGATAACAGGGTATTTTCACAGACCTAAAGCTTTTTCACATTGTAAAAATAACAGGATTTGCATTTGTGTCTGTTGATCATGACATACCCTAATGAATTTTTTCTAAATTTATCCTGAGTCAGCAAGATAATTAGTCCACACATGAACACAAAGTCTTCAATTTAATCATATGATCAGGACTTGTAAAGATAACTGAAAAGATTCTCTCAGGAACTTGGACGTCTTGGAAACTTAGATCTGACACCGTTTGCTCACAGTCCTATCAGATTAGATCCTGACAGACTCTTAGCAATTTGGTTCAGTGATTGTTATTAGGTATAGAGTTAATAGTGGTCACCGTTCCCTTCATTTAATAGGCCTTAACATTAAAAAAAAAAAAAAAAAAAGTATCTTTATAAAAAAGACAGTATCAGGCTAAAGCATCACTTCTTATATAGCACCAGATTTTTACTACAGGCAGGTTGTGACTTATCTTCAGAGTGCTAAATACTTTCAGTGGCTTTTCTTTCTAAAGGTGAAATAGCACCTGATTATTGAAAAATGATGTCATTAAGATTGAGCATAAAACAGATCAAAGAAAAACATCTGCACTTAAGCCAACTTGCATCTCTGTATTCGAGGATTAGGACAGATTTATAAATTACCTGCTAAGCTATCCACAGAATAATGCAAGCAGACCATGCGAAAGAAATTGCAAAATAAAAAATGATGTGAAGCAGAAAAAAAGCAAGCAAAATATGCACCGAAGCCAAGTTCTGCTGGCAGACACAGAAAGGAACATGTGCAACATAAGACTGGAGGCATCTTGTGAAGGAAAACCAAAGCAGTGTATTTTTTGTTTCTAATGCAAACACCTATCCTAACCTCTCTTGTCTACTTCAACAGAAGAGAAAGGAATACACTAAAAAATAATGAAAAAGAAAAAGGCAATATGAAAAATGCTGCTAGTTGCTCCTCTTGAGTCCTAAATCATTTCACAGGCAAAGAAAAAGGCCCCACAACATTATTTTACCTTACTAAGCGCAAGATCAAAAGCTATTAATTATTTGTATCAACTGACAGAAAATGTCTGACCTCTACTGCACTAGGGAACTGGGCTCCTAGAATCAGCTCCTATCTCAATGATTATATATATATATATAATTAGCATGTACCACTGGTTCTAATTTGTTCAAATTTGTATCTGAGAGAGATCAAAATCAGACCTGGAAGTTACTGACTTCTTTTTTGAGTAAATTAATGGCAATTGCCTATACAATTATCTTCAATGTCTACATTCTTCTACTCAATAAGCCCAAATTTTGTATAAATAAATATTTTAACAGTGGCTTGCCACATGCCATGTGAAGGTCCCCCTTCAAGTCCTTTAATAGCTGAGTTTACAGAACAAAGCCACTTGACAACTTTGTTTTGTATTCATCCATCTGAGCTTCTGCAGTATGTACCAGCCCACATGGTCCTTGGCCCTTAAAGAGCCTCAAAGAATAAATCAAATATCAATGATTAATGGGAAATTCACTGCCACATTCAACAACTATATTGTTCAAAGAAAACTTCTGTGTGTTGTCCTTGTCCTCCTACTTCAAGGCCTTGACATTTCATCACTTCATTACAAGTCAATGTTTTAACAACAAAACTGAATGTTGCCTTGCTGGTCCTGAAAGTTACAACCACTTGGATGTTACATCAAGGCAAGGGGGAAACGGTATGTAAATGACTGTCTCAGGGTAGTACTTGATTCAGCTGTGATATATATTATAATTAATGTTTAAAATACCAAGTTGAAAGAATTACACCTTATGAAAGTACTGTTCCTATCCTTCCCCTGAAGAAAACTTAACAAACCAGCACCAGAAACTAGAACTTCAAAGCATTCTATTTAGTCTTTTCTTGTTAGATTTTTTAATTTGTTTTTATTTTATTTTCCTCTTGGGCAACACAAGAGTAATACAGCTGAGACAAATGGATGCCTCTAAGCTCCATTTCCAGGCAGCGATGGTTACCCTAAAAAACAGGACATCCCCTTCCTGGGGAAAAAAAAAAAAAAAAAAAAAAA